TTGTTTAATTGTCATAGGGTTACTAACATTCTGGTCATTTGGTTTCTGGTGAATATTTTTACTTATAGCAGTTTTATCTTTAAAGAAACAGTCTTTATGAAGATATATCACCCTATCTGAAGCAATCATTTTGAGTCGTCCATTCTTTGTTCCTTCTCATAGATACCAAATACTTAGCGGATGTCAGCCGGTTGACTCGGTTAGAGATCAAAACACAAACCTGCTGCACTTGAATCAAAAACTTATCACGATTCCACAGAGGTTCGTGGGGAGCATGTAATCGCAATTTTGTCAGTATATTCCTCCGAAACAAGATAACCGTTTCCGATCAATTGAGAATTTTAGTTATACCATCATTTTAACCCATGAATTTTTCTTCATTAACACCTTCAAAATGGAAAAATAGTTTTCGGGAGTATAATATATGTTGCCTTTTTGGATCACTTTACAACATCTCTATTATCATAAAACTCAACAAATGCTCGATTCTCTTTTGACGACATAACCGTTTCAGAGTTATGACCTTGAGTTATCTCAAACTGTATATAAAATAACTTTCCGGTTTACATTTAAGATTTTATTTTGAAATTGACCTACAAGTTTGCAATATAAATAAATACCATAACATGCAGGTCGCATTTGATTTGCACCGGTGCCGTTATGGCAGTTGCAGGGTATTGTCTCTGAAATTATCTCCAAATTGTAAAAATAATTCCAGTTGGTAACTAAAGATTGCTCTTTAAATGGGACTCTTTTATAACCTTCAATAAATTTTCGAGAAATATAATAACCATTAAAGAGTTATGCCCCTCGACCCGTCTCACATTGGTAAAATTACGTTTCACGATAATGGCTTTAGTTTCCTATAAGCTAGGATATTAAGATTTGTTAACTTACCTTCTGCCATGAACTGTAGTTCAAATAAGCTAATTTAATTATAGCATTTACAGACGTTACCATAATTCCGAAACCAAACATTTTCAAGTTAAAACCTCAGCTTTCTTTGAATACCGTTTAGCTTTATGAATCTTTTTCATACAGCATTGCAGACATTAATCATTTCTGCTGTTTCTGTCAGTGTTGTATGGGCAGTATATATTGGCAGCGCACGTTTATTTTGATTACTCATGTGCATCGTCAAAATACAATTATAGTCCAGCTGGTCATGTTATTACTGGCTACCTTTTCATCGTTACCAATGAACAACTAAGAGAGTTGTTAGCCAAGGCACCAAAATACAGAATTCCCAAGCCCATCAACTGGAAAAAGAACTTCAGGTTACTGATGGATGCAGTTGAGGACTATGCTAGAAAATGGGTAAAGCTCGAACCAGACGAACCAGAACTGGACACTTTGTCTGAATGGATCGAAGCTATTTGATCATGCATTCAGAAGCGCATTCAGAAACTACGATGTACTATGAGCACAAGGGTTTCTAATCTATTCAAGAACCAGGAGGTTGTGGATGCTTTATCCTCTTTGCATGACAAATATGTCGTTGTTCCAGCAGATAAAGCATCCAATAATATTGTCTTCGTATGTTAAAACCATTATTTGCAATGCCTTACAGAAAGCTTGGAATAAACAGCACAACTGGTAATCCTACATATTCTTTAACATCATTTACAAAGGATGAAATTTTACAAAATCACAAATGTGTCCTTCTTTCATTTGGTATCAACATCAAAGAAAACGAAGAAAATCTACCGTCATTATACTGGATACCAAAACTTCATAAAACTCCGTATTAAGAACGATACATAGCTGGATCATGAAGATGTTCGACTAAACATCTTTCTAAAGTGTTGACTACTATTCGTTCTACAGTAAAAGATGGCCTTCAAAAATATTGTAATGAGATATAATCAACCAGTGGTGTCAATCAGATGTGGATTCTCAAAAAGTCTAAAGATCTACTGCTAAATCTCAGATCACAATCACTGCAATTTTGCAGCAACATTAAGACCTTTGATTTTTCTACGCTTTACACTATTATTCCCCATGCTCAATTGAAAGATCGACTTCACCATCTCATTAAACAGAGCTTTTTCTATAAAAATGGGAATCGTAGATATAAATTTCTTGTTTTGGGTTATAATAATTCTTATTTTGCGAAGAACCACACTGATTCTATCAGAAAATACAGTAAAGATGAATTTATCAAAATGCTGGACTTTTTAATCGACAATATGTTTGTTGAGTTTGGAGGATTGATATTTCAACAGACAGTCGGTATTTCAATGGGTACTAATTGTGCACTCCTTCTGGCCGACTTGTTTTTGTACTCGTATGAAGCAGAAGTCATTCAAAGCCTTCTAAAAGTCAAAAAGAAAAAGCACCTTGCAAAGTTCTTTAATTTTACTTTCAGATATATTGATGATGATGTCCTATCACTAAATAACCTATATTTCAGTCAGACTTGCATCTCATTTATCCCAGTGAACTTGAAATTAAGGATACTACTGATACTAGAAGGACTGTTTCATACCTTGATTTTTTTCTTCAATATTGACACAGATGGACGACTTCACACAAAAATCTATGACAAACGGGATGATTTCAACTTCCCAATTATCAATTTCCCATTTCATTGCAGTAGCATACCCTTTGCTCCGTCGTATGGTGTGTACATATCTCAATTGATACGTTATGCTCGTGCATGTTCACACCATACTGACTTCGTATACAGGAGTGTGATTCTTACGCAGAAACTGCTCCAACAGAGTTATGAGAAGGAAAGATTAAAAAAAACACTCCATTAATTTTATGGACATCATCACGAATTGGTTGTTCTATACGATGTGTTTGTGTCTACATTAACTAATGACATTTTTACCACGTCTTAGACTGTTGTTTAACATGTTTGTCGTCTGTCTGCTAAGAACCGAACGTGACCTATTCCCAAATATAACTGGTATACCGAGAGTGAATTTACATTGCTATACGACGTGTCTCGGTATTTTGTACATCCAACATTCATGTATTTATTTTTGATGTTTTTGTTATGGTTTCGGTTCAATAATGTGTTATGTGATATCGTTTATTGTCCAAATAATTATACCATCATTGTCATAATCCCGAATATGACTGTTTTACTGAATGTGAATTTGCATTGCTGTGCGGCGTGTCTCGGTGTTTTGTACATCCAACATTAATTGATTTATTTTGATGTTTCTGTTATGGTTTCGGTTGATTAATCTGTTATGTCTTATTGTTTGTAGTCCAAATAATTATAAAATTGCCTTTCCATACCATCATTGTCATGGAAATTGTTTGGACGAATATTGTGAAAATAATTGTATAAAGTTCGAGATTGCATGTTAGTTACCTAAGCGCGTCACTGTTTTTGATATCCTGTGGCGTTTTTCGTTGATGGAATATGTTCGTTGTTGTTCTGTGGTTTGCATGTTGTGTCGACTATTATATAATTTGTTTGTTTTCTGTTATGAATGTTCTTGCGTGTGTTTGTGCTGTATTTCTGTCACGTAGTGTTTTAGCGATATTTTTTAACATTGTCATAAAGCGGGAGGTTTGGCATGCCATGAAACCAAGTTGAACTCACCATGTTTTCTTAAAATGTCCTGTACCAAGTCAGGAATATAGCAGTTGTTATCAAATAACTCGTTTCTATGTGTGTTGGCGTTTGTTTAAGTTGCACTTCGGTGTTCCTGTTGTTCCTTTGTTTTCCACTTATAGTTGATATGTTTCCCTCGGTTTTGGTTTATAACCCGGATTTGTTTTCTCTCAATCGATTTATGACTTTTGAACACCGGTATACTACTGTTGCCTTTATTTTGGCATTTATTTTTGTTATGAGTTTGGTATTACCAACATGTTTAACCCCGTCACATTCTGTGTATACCTGTTCAAATTTAGGAGCCTGTTATTCAGTGGTTGTCGTTTATTGCTGTATATCATATGTGGTTTGCGTTTATTGTTTTGTATAAATTAAGCCGCTAGTTTTCTCGTTTTAGTTGTACATTTGTCATTTTGGGCCTTTTATAGCTTACTATTCGGTATGAATTTTGCTCATTGTTGAGAGTTGTCTCATTGGTAATCATACCACATCTTCTCAATTTTATATTATATTTTCGAATGATATTTTTTGGAAACGTTGGAAGAATCACATAGTGAAAAGGGAACTGCTTATCCTTCAAGAGCACATGAGCTTTTCTCCCTTTTTTATTTCGTCAAGTTTCTTTGTAGTGTCTTGTTGACTGCTGTTGTTTTTCTGTATTCTTTTAATCATGTTATTCGATGTCTGAGATTTATTTCTACTCAGAATTTCTTTCCCTATTTGATTCGTAACATCGGTCTATTTGTACTTTTAACAACAAATAGTCATCTATATATGTTGTGTTGTGCTGTTACACCACTGTCTCAGGTTCTTATGTTCTTATGTTGTGTTGTTATACCACTGTCCCAGGTAAGGGGGAGGGTTGAGCGCTAACAAACATGTTTAACCCCGCCATATTCTTTATGTACCTGTCCCAAGTCAGGAACCTGCATTTTTTAGTGGTTGATTCATGTCCGTCATATTTGTTTTTCGTTAATTTTTTTGTTATAAATTAGGCCGTTAGTTTCTCAATTGAATTGTTTCGTATTTTTCAAGTCGGAGCCTTTAATTACCGACTATACGGTATGGGTTTTTCTCATTGTTGAAGGCCTTACGGTTGCCAATAATTGCTTAAATCCACTTTATTTGAACTTTGGAGGATAGTTGTCTCATTGGCAATCATACCTCATCTCCTTATTTTTATATCTATATACAACAGTTGATTAAAGCACCCAAAACAAAAGCCAAATTTGTTTTAATTTTTATATAACGATATCGTATGTACATCAAGTTGCATTACAATAACAACCTTCATTGACATGCGGAACGTATATATGTCAAGTTTTCAAAAACTCAATATCAAAATAATCAGTCCATTTGTACAACATTTTTGTTTAAAACATCATATCGTAATATTGAAAGAGATTTTTTATCAACATGTTAATAAGGTTAATTAAAACTTTAATATTAAAATTTAATGTAAAAATCCTTAAAATATGCAACTATTCAACTATCAGTTTTTAAACAAACTTTTTAACAAATGGTAATTAAGTATGAAATCAAAACGTCAATTAGTATGGTCTTATGAATGTCTTTACAATGTGAGGAAAATGGCAGCATGCCATCGTTTTGCCTGTTACGGTGCAATTTTTATTTTCCTCCTTACTAAATAAAATAAATAGTTAATACTGCCTTTTGTTTGAACACAGATGTTTATAACATTTTCAATTTTCGCTGCCTATTACAATATTTACTAAACTATTGAAGTATCTACATCTTTGAGTCACACACAAGTACTGCTATTTAAGACTGGCAGCTATTTTAACACTTCTAAGTATGCCAACATGAGGCACATAAAAATGGTGGAGATCTCAACTACAGCCATGGCCACTGCAGAATTACCTAGAAATATAAAAAAACGGGAAGCATTTTAAACTCATTACGAAATAAACCTCTGAAATAATACTGGACTGTTATTTGGCTGTAGAGGAAATAAAATATAATTTATCAGAATGAGTACAAAAAACATCAAAAACATTTAAATTTGCCAGGAATATTCTGTTTAAATCATCATACAGCAATGTACAGTGAACAAACACTTACAAGTAGTTTGTTATATTATCAGTAGCATAAATACAATCAAAGAATGCTCTTTGTTCGAAATATTTCTCTTAAATGCATCGATATTCTTCCCAGTTTTACTTGATCTGCATTGTTTTTGCTTAAAAGTTTTTTTTTATTGTTTTCAAATGATTGTTTTGTTTCCATTGATTATTGTTATCGTATATCAATTTTACAATGTCTAGCCATAAGCAATGTGTCGAGTGTCACTTGTGGAACACAAAATGTGTTCCCTTTCGGAGCACCAGAAGTCACCTCATATTTTGAGTAGGGTTCAAGTAGAATTTTTTGTTTTCTTTGTAGTGATTTGTGAATTGTTCCTTGACTTTTTGCCTTTTCTTTTTCTTTGACTTTGGTGTAGTCGGTCTTTCTTGACTTAAGGTTTTTGATTGCCTCCCTTGGTATCCTCTTGCTATTTTCACATTTGCAAGTAGATGTCAGCTTCGATAGAATTTACTCCTCCTTAAGGAGTAGACCTGGGGTATGGGAGGCAATTCTTACAAAGGTATAGGAAGTCATTTGTGCGTTTTAACCTAGTAGTAACTGAAACGGTGATCAAGCATTTATGTTGTTTTCACTTGGCTATGAGAATGATGCAGGAGCATCTAAGAAAGATGGACAAATTTGACTCCACCAAGGATTCGTATAGTACTATACAAATCCTTGCTTACTATACAAATCCTTGACTCCAACAAGCATTAGATAAAGGAATAACTTTTTTTTTCAAAATTCAAAAATCAAAACCTGAAATGTTAGAAATTAACATTCATTCATGAAATGCTTTTGAAAAAATACATGTACTGAGGAGTTTTTGGAATGACCCTTGACATCATTAAGATAAAATCTTGAAAGGTTTGGGAAAAATTGATTTGGAAAAAAATGATTGAATAATGTAGTAATAAGGTTTTAGTACTATTGGTTGATATGCTGTTTTTAACTTTCAAATTAGGACAAATAAGAACAGCAGTATTTTAGAAGATATGATCTGATAAGCCATCCTCAGTACAAAACCTACATTACCACAAAGTTCTTAGATAGTGACAGACTTTCAAAACATTCAATTTAGCGTCTTCTCATCCAATGACAGGGGCATTTTGTAGTCTTGGGAAGAAAACCAATGTTGCGTATTTTAATGTGGATATATCAATTCGTCCCAAGGGTTATTTAGTAGGGTGCCCAGTCAACGAATTTTGTCGATTTGAGTTAACGGAATAACACACGGCTGTATTTGATATCATTGGAAAGTGGAGAACAAGCCTCATCGAAATATTGATGTTGTCGTTGTCTACAGTGGTCACGATTTTCTTAAATTTGATCAATTTGGGTCAAAGGTCAAAGCTCAAATTTCAAGGAAAACTCAGAGTCACGTTTAGATAGCTGGTATCCCCTACATATATGCGTTTATATCAAAATATATTCAAATAATTCAAAGGATTATAACTATAGTTTCTATATTAAGGACTAATTTGATATCTATATTGCCAAATATGGTTAGAGATTGACATTTGTACTTTAAAAAGAGGGACGAAAGATACCAGAGGGACAGTCAAACTCATAGATCGAAAACGAACTGACAACGCCATGGCCAAAAATAAAAAGACAAACAGACAAATAATAGTACAAATGACACAACGTAGAAAATAAAAGAGTAAGCAACACGAACCCTACCAAAAACTGGGGGTGATCTCAGATGTGCATCCTTACAAGGTATCCTTACAAGGTTTCTAATATATGGTATCCTTACAAGGCCTACATGTCGGTCATACATGGTTCACTTGACCTAGACCTCATTTAATGAATCCTAGGGTGCACATTAACAATTTGCATTCAGCCGTCAAACCTAGACCTCATTTAATGAATCCTAGGGTGCACATTAACAATTTGCATTCAGCTGTTAAACAACAGTGACCTTGACATATATATTAACATTTATAAGTTGCCCCTTCCAAAATGTTATTTTTCCGTCGTTTGATAGAAGGTGTTCGTAAAGTTTTCCTGGGAAAATATCTAGTTTTCTTTTGTTGAGTGTGGAAGCACATACAATTGTACTTGGTTCCAAAATTGGTGAAATATTAACGTATAATGGATTGAATTAGCAGGTCTGATTATAACTTTGCTTTATAGAAATACGAATGACTGTAAACGGTGAAAAAGGGGAAGGGTTGTCCGTCAAAGCTATGAAAACAAAATGACAATTAAAAACAGGTTAATCACTCCATCTTATACACTTATATGCCTTATTAAGCATACATTGGCCTACAACTGACATGAAGTTTATCTACAAAGAGAGGGTTGTAACAACATCAATCTAATTGAAATATAGATCTCTGATTTCGTTATCCTCATATGAGCTTATATATACGAGCACGCCAGTTAATATAGATAAGGATTTTAATCTGATTGAAACAACATAGAAAAATTGCCTAAGCTAACAGTAGCTATCACGTTTCATTGTCTTCTGTTAAGTCGAAAGCCCGCCGACCAGGTTAAGTTAGAGAGCTAATTACAGTTGTTCTTTTATAAATCGGATTCGAAGGAAGTCGCAGAATGCGAGGCATACAGCATACAATCTGATTGTGGAGGCCGCAACACCGTTAACTATTTGTATATCTTCATATATCAGAGAGTAGAGGAATCGGATTATTATACTTTGTATATATAGATCCATTGTGTTACGAAGTTTCCGTCTGTCATATAATTATTTTCCTTGACCTCATTTTTATGGTTTAGTGAATGCAAAAACCTGAACAGCATTTTTTTTCTTCGTGTAAATGTCTTACTTGTGCGTTTGAATGGGACGTCCCTTTGGTATCCGTCGCATCTCTTTTATCATGAGTTCTAGGATAACTATATTTGGTTTCTAATATATGGTATCCTTACAAGGCCTACATGTCGGTCATACATTGTTCACTTGACCTAGACCTCATTTAATGAATCCTAGAATGGATCAGTGAACAAGATTAAGTTTTAGTGGTCAAGTCCTTATCTCAGGTACTATAAGTTGTGGGTCAAATATATTTGGTGTATGGGATGGTAGCAAAGTGTACATGTCTTTGTGGCCGATTTCATCTGACCTTACGTCGTTTGTATGTAACATTGATAATTATATTTTATGTAATAAATTTATAATATAAAAATAAGGAGATGCGGAAGTAAAAAGTTATAGGCAACCGCACGGTCTTAAAAAATGAGAAAACCCCATACCGTAGGTCGGCTATAAAAGGCCCGGATACAAAAAAATTGAATCAATTCATTTGAGAAAACTAACGGCCTAGTTTATAAAAAAAAAATGTACCAACAAAAATGACAGACTTGAAACAACGACAACCACATCAAATACCGACTCGATCCAGACTTGGAACAGGCATAAACATAATGTATTGATTGATTGATTGATTGCTTTACGCCGCATCAGCACAACATTGATATAACGCGGCGAGAATGTATACAATCCTTTTCTCTAAGAATTTCGACATAAAAAATTCAGTCAGTTAGTAAAACATGCTGTACCAGTATAATCCTAGTTTTTACGGTAATGATGTATATGATCATACTTTTCTCTGACTATAAATTGATAACGTCCTTTCAGTAGCTCTCGGAAATGGAACGACCATTCGATTTCGAAAGGAGATGGGGAGGAGGATTTTGAAAATCAATAACTTGGCCTGGTATGAACTGAAAATCAATATCTTGGCCTGGTATGAACTGAAAATCAATGACTTTGTACAAGATCGGATAAAAATGAACACGCTGCAACATGAAATGCAAGATATTTGAGGATATATAAATGTGTACAAAAGTGAAAATAAACTTTCGTGCAGCAATGACGCGGAAAAAAATTAAGAAAGCGTAGGAACAGACGGAAAAAAAATGGTCACTCCGGAAAATTTTATCTGCTGCTAGCTTGGCTTCGGTGGTTTGCTCGAACTAACCTATTGCCAATTCAGCTTTCAAATTATTGCAGTTGTATCTGCTGGTGTATAATTCATAGCAGGAACGATGATAAATTTTTGTTGTTTGTCACACCAAGGGGGATTTAGGTCGAAAACATAACAAGACCATAACATAGTCTTGATGTGCCATATTCCGGATGTGAAAATCGACCGTTTTTATTCTTATACTACAATTATAACAAAAATATCTATTCAACAAAAAGTTTAACGTATTGAAAAGTAGACAATAAACATATTCCTCCGAAGAAAATAATAATTTACAACGTTAGCTGGCTATTCAAAACAAATTAATCAACCACACAACAAGCACAAATGAGAATTGTAATGAGTGACCACTGTCCTTGTTAATGACCTAATAGTGTAAGCAACAAAATGTTTATGTCACGGGAAAATCCGTGGTTAATGAATGCCAGAATGTTGACTTTATTTGTGTTTTTAATTGCTTATTTCTTCAATTCAAAACTACTTTTATTTCACACATGAAATTTCAACAACACTTAGGCAGATGATGCATGAATCCCTATCCTTTCAATGGTGTAAATATAAGAAATATTAAACGAGAGGAGAATTTTTGGGTTACCAAGGCCTACTCCCTTAATATGATAAAAAAAAATAACTATGATACAGACCAAACGCTGCCATGAGAGATTCTGATGCGTAGAAAAAACACATTTTCATGCATTTTCTACTTAATTCCCGTGAAAAATTCAATAATGAATACAAAAAAAGAATAAATATTCAAATAACTAAATATTGAAAAATATTCACTCGTGAATAACGCGCATTTGTCCACTAACGCGTTTTTCGGTCACTCGTAAAAAAAATATTTTTGAAAAATCGAACAGACACATTTTAAAGATTCGTAATAAAGGAGAGACGTCATTCCTGTACGTTCGTATATCATGTGCTTCTGCTTCTCATGTACCCTTGAAGTTAAAAGTTTAATAAGTTAAAACAAATGTTTGAGAAGAGTAAAGCTCAACCAAAGGACCACAGCTTTCACATTGAGACTAGATGGATTATACATACTATATGCTACTATTGTTTTTCAGAACAGTATAGGCTGATACTGGTTATAAATGTTTATACTGCTTTGTGTATTGCAAAAACACAAAACTGTATTTAGTATTTATGAGAGGGATATTTACTTCAAACCTCTTTCATTCTATTTTGTTCAATATAGTTCTTTATTGCTGTAGGAATTCTAGCCTGTATATCTGAACATTCGTGTGCTTTGTTTTCTCTATTGCTAATTTGACAAATTAAGATTATCATTAATTGCTGATGTTGACTGTTTAACCAATGACTTTAACTGTTGAAGTACAGGTGACCATATTTTGTCTTATTGCCAATAAACATTCTATATAATTGAGAACAGTATAAAACTTTTACAATATACCTTATTTTGAATGCAAAAATTGTGCCTTGTTTTTACGAAAGGTCTTTAAAAATAATAACTAATATGCATGTTTTATTTTATTTACTGTTGTAATATTAATACTTACAGCTTGTATTCGATGCAATGAAATTTATGCCGCAAACACAAAAACCGGTGTTGGTATGGTTACAATATGCGTTATCTACACAAGAGGAATTTCCCTTATCATCGCATTTTTTGTTTGGAAAAATGCCTGTAATGCAAATAAGGAAAAAATAAGGAAAAACATATATTTTAATAACTGTTTAAATATATCAATATTAAGAAAATGTAAGCAATTTGATCGAACTCTACATCCAAGTCAAATGCGCTTACTTTTATGAGCTTAAAACATTTATATATATAAATATCCACGTCATTTGAACATCTGGTGGATAGTTGTCTCATTTGAAATCATACACATCTCCTTATTTCTATATAAAGTAACATAATGACTGTATTATCTTTTGACGTCGGTATTTATTTTTTTTTAATGTGTCATGAACCAATTGAATTTGCTTAAACAATATAATTTACAAACTCATTTAACTAAAATATAATAATTCTTCTAGAACTGGTCTGTCTGTGTGATTCTTAGATTACCTAAAATTATTAATAATACAAATATGTTTCTTGAACACATTGAAATTATATAAAACAAAAGCCAAGACAGATTTGTTTCAAATTCGTATCCAATGAATTCAGTATGTTTTATTGTACATTTTGAAATTAAGATACAATACATACGAGGTTTACAAGAGGAAGAGTCACGGAAATGAGAATCAATGCAGGTACAATTTGTTCGGCATGTAGTGTTTTCATCCTTGCATTGGGAAGTTGGAAGACAGGGGTAACCGTAAGCTATTTCTGTAACAAATAGTACATATTTTAGTATTTTATATCAATCGCACCAATTAATGATTTATATAAAATTGAGACCTCATGAAAAGATGGCAATTGTACTTAATAATAAATATACAATATTAACTAAGTGCTTTCATATTTTGAAAAAAAACAATTGTTTGCATAATTTCCCTCTACTATTAGAGTATCAAACGTATTGTTATAGATTTTACAATGTTATCATTTGCACTTCAGATATATATGCCTTAAATTTGTTAGATATTTCAATTTTGTATTTTAATGCACAGAGGAAGCGTTATCAATCCTAGCAAGAATTCCATCCACTCTAACATGTGCTATAGTGAGATACGAACTTTTGCGCTAAGTTGAAGACGTCAGTCTGGAATTGGAATGAAGAACAGTTATAAAAACAATTTTGGATATGTCAATTGCGTGTAGGATATTTGTGTGATAAATCAAAAATACATCATAATCATTATTCCTTCTTTTCGTTTTGTCAGTATCATCTTCATGTAATCTTAGATACCCCACATGTTTTATTCAGTAACACAGCACAATTTTCTCTTTTTATCATTATTATAGAACGTTCGTTGATTTATTTTCTTTAGAGTTATAAATGGACAACTGAGAATATCTGATACACTTACTTGTGGCACAGAACGTACTATTGTATTTGTAGTGAGTAGCTGTTTTACATTGACATTTCTCGGCGGCACTGCATTCTGAATTTGCATCACTTGTTGTACAGTTGCTTGTATCAGTACATGCTTCATCAAGAATAGGTCCTTTATAAAATAAATTTGTATATATACTTTACTAAAGGAAGTGAAGACGGTGAATTGCGTTACAGAACTAAAACGCTATTAATTATTGTACTGACATTGTGTTTAAACACCCTTGTAGCAATATATGATGGGGCCAGATTCATTGGTGGAGGAAGCCTAGAGGACCACCGAACTCGACAGGAAAACAGATCATCTAAGTTAAACGTACCAGCGACGAGCAGGGTTCAAACTCTCAACATCGGCGTTGGCAGGCTAGTGATCACTGTATACATAAACTACTTAGACCATACTGCCACCGCGGACCGTTTTTGTAAATGTCAACTGATATTCTCTGAACGTTTACACTAAAAATGAATACATATGACAGACAAGGATATTTTCAAATTAGTTTACATTAAAGGATTAATAGCACTGCTTTTATTTTCATAGAGAGGCAACAGATACCAAAGGGACATTCAAACTCATAAGTCGAAAATAAACTGACGCCATGGCTAAAAAAGAAGTGACAAACAACAGTACACAACACACAACAGACTGAGCAACAGTTGCTCCGGAAGGGTAAGCAGATCCTGCGATATTTCAATAGCTATATCGTTCCCAATTCAGGAGTATGGGTCTATACTGACAAGAGTTTTCAGATAAATGTGAAACTTGAATTGAATCAGGTACCAACTTCTGTAAATGTTTTAGAATGAAACTAAAGTCAACAATTTTTTTTTTATTCGCGACTAGAAAACACTGAGAAAGAAAGATTCAGCTATAACATTTATTAACCGTATTTACTAAAGCCCACGGCTTTCACTTGGTATATCGAGAGAAATGGTCGTGAAAAATAAGTAACGGTGGTCAAGTATTGCGATCGGATTGTAAAAGATCTGGTATCGAATCGTGAAAGATCTGGTATCGAATCGTGAAAGCTATTAAACTTCAACATCTCTTAAAAATAGGAACAACAAATGTATCGGTCTAAATGATTATTAAAAATTCACACTAAGATGCAGTCCTTTTTTATAAGAAAACACAAAAATGACAAATATTCTTATGCGAATTATTAAAAAAAATCACTTTTTACAATCTATTACAGTTACATTTCAATATATGCTACATTTGACACTAAATCTTGTGTGTCAGACAATAAAGTGTTCTCGTTTTTTTCCAGGATAAGATTTAGTTATTTAAAAAAACGTAGGATTTTGTTAAGGTTATCTATTATTATCAGGCAACGCGTTATTTTGACAGTGAAAGGCAATAAATTACCCGTCTGAATCCGCATATATTTCTATTTCTACCAACCATATACTTGTAGTTTGTTAAGGCGTGACTATGGTACCTTAATAAGAACGTAAAATAATGATGTTTTGTACTTTTTATTTAAATAATTGACCATCACATTATTTTCTACAAGAGCTATACAAATTACCCCGGGCAAAATAATACATACGAATAGAACTTTCATGGTCATACACTGATGAAAACTAAACAGCATGTATATATGAAATTATAACTTCCATTTGTGTGAATATTTAGATATGTTTGCAGTTGGTGATAAACTTTTAATTGATTTAAGCAAGTGATCACTTAATAAAAGCTAAAACGAATGTTTTTTGTATATTTTCAATTATTGACCACCACTTCATTTCCTACAAGAGCTATCAAAACTACTGCATACATAATATCAGTTACTAGTATATACAAAAAAAAAAAAACAGAAGTTACTAAATGAATATTAAATACGCATGAGTCGAATACAAACTGATTACGCCATGGCAAAAAAAAACGAAAACCCAGCAACACGAACCCCACCTAAAACCGGGATTGATCTCATTTAATCCGGAAGGGTAAGCAGATCCTGCTCCACATATGACACCCGTCGTCTTTTTCGTAAGGACAATGATATATGTCGAAGTACCTAACTAAGTATAATATGTTATTACTAACCAACGTGCATCGAGTGCATGCAGCAGGTCGTCGGTTCCACCACCGGCTTTGTCTTTTAATTCCCCGAAATGTTCTATTATCAATCGAGACAATTTTGAATGGGTCTAGATTCGCATGCCAAGTGATGCAAGCATAGCAGGTGACGCTTACTCTGTCTTTCTATTTTCAATACACTAACACCAAATGTCTCTATTATGGATATGAGTTCTTAATGTGTTTTTATATAGGTGTGACTGAAGGATAAGAAATAAGCAAGAACCTGTGATGCACTTAAAATCTTAAGTCGACGAAGGACAGAAAACAACATTGCCAAAATTAAGAAAAAGAAAACTATAGATTGAGGAATACTCACTCAATCCAAAACCGGAGGTGGGAGAACATGAGTTATGTTTAAGTTGTAATTTGCTTTGAACTAGCTTTCAGTAACAGTTTGTTCTTATGTTATGCTGTACGTCAATGTCCCAGGTTAGGGGGAGAGATGACCGCTCACAAACATGTCAGGATTTTGTAGTTCAGTGGTTGTCGTTGGTTCATGTCTGTCATATTTTGTTTTAAGTAAATTGTTTTGTTATAAATCAGCTCGTTAGTCTTCATAATTGTATTGTTGCATATTTTTCATGTCGGAGACTTTTATAGCCGACTCTATACAGTATGGATTTTTCTCATTGTTGAAGGCCGTACGGTTGCCTATAATTGCTGACATCCACTTCATTTAAACTTTTAGTGGATAGTTGTCTCATTGGCAATCATACCGCATCTCCTTATTTTTAAATCGTGTACTCCGGAGAGGGTTGTCTTTTTTCTGTTTTAATAGTCACTAGACAAGAGATTAATCTGCTATGATTTTAAGAGTTGTCGTCAACGATGTTTTTTAATTGCTACGACTGTCACTAAACGTGCGTCCTCAAATCATTCATGTGAATAATATCTTTTCAACCAAAATAATCGAGAGCATATAGTCTAACATTCAGGTATTGCGACTAATGACTCTTAGCAAATTTCTGTAAATGTGATTCATTTTTTAATTTTACCACTGACAAATAAGACGGGTGTTGCATGGGAAACAAGATACACGTATCCTTCCTGACCACTTAATTAATTTTCAGTCTTACATATACGATGTTTGTGCGTCAATTTTGGTCTCCTTACGATTGAATTGTCTCTGTTATGAATTATTCTTAGATTTTTGCATTTCCCTTTTATTACATTTCATAATTTAAAATCCTACCTGTTGCGACTGCATGGCTAAAGTAACACGCAACCAATGACACCAAGAGTAGAAGTACAGTAGACAAAGAGGTCTGGAAAATAAAGTAAAAGACTTATTGTAATTGTTTTCATATGAACCTACAAGTAGTAATCCGACTTATTTATAAACATAAACTACATATTAAGCATTGGATAATGGAAAAGTTTTCTACCTTAATTTAAACATTTTTTATTTAAAAAGAATAGTTAAAATGAATTAAATAGCAGATTAAAGCCTATTTACATATAAAAATTAGAAGAAGTGGTCCGATTGCCAATGCGTCAACTCTCCACAAGAGACCAAATGACACAGAAAAAGAAATAGAACATTAATATAATGGAATAGGTAGACAGCTCTCTCACCTCTTAACGGATTATATGCTATATCATGGTAATTCGGAATATATATTTCTTTAAAGTGGCCAAATTTATGCCTACCGAATCTATTCAAACTCTCAAAACGTAAATCAGAACTACAAAAGTTCAATAAAATACAATACACAATATCTAAACTGATTATCGTTAAAAAGTATCAACATTTCGTGTGTATTTCTGACTGGAACTATCGACGTGACCTACGAAAACTGTCGATGGGCTTATGACGCCGTTATTATAAACAGACATGTTAAAATAACGTATAGAGAAAGTCCACATAACTGTCAATTCTTAGGAAATACTGGCGAGGAGACCCGAAGGCCCGACGCCCATTATTTCCCAGGAATGGGCAGTTATTTGGACTTTTGCTAACTTAAAATACACCTCTAATCACGTTACAAATCTCCAGAGTATAAGATTTTAAAGAATTTTATTTCATTTTGAAATGGTTTTCTTTTCATTTTCCTCATGTTGTATCCAGTAATCCGCAGTCAAAATTTTTAGATCAAGCTAACCATCTACTCACATAACAAAGTATTTATAAACAGTTGATCTTGAATAAAGTTCATCCAGATTTATGTTTTGAATTTTTGGATACGCACATTTTTCTTGTATTTGGATTGAAAGGATGTTTAGTGGTATTTTGGGAGAGAGAGAAAACTACTATATATACATATATGTAATTCGATTATGTGTGTTTTTCGTTTGATAAATATTGGATTTAGAATAGTCTAAGAAAAATGAAACGGTACAACTAGAATAAATTTCCAGGTATGTAACACTCTACTCTAGGTTATTAAACTAATAAGGCTTCGCTCTATTATAAGTCATTTTGGAAAAAAATTTCAAACCATTCTATTACATAAAATAAATTAAACGAGAAAACAGTGTTTTGTGCATATTCCAATATTTTTTCTAGCCATTTGCTCATTACAACGTACACAAATTTAAGATTTTTTTTATGATTCTTGAATAGCATTCCCAGTAAACTGAAAGCATTTTTCATTTCCCCCGATTATCAGATAGAAATCATTGAATAATATTAATGTGTTCAATATTACAAAAGATTCAACTGAATTAACACAGTTAATAAGTTGTAGATGCATAGAAGAGGAATTATGGCACGCAATGGATAGAATTCGTTTGTTCCCACTTGGATACTATCTGTGACAGAAATTCAGTCAAAATTTGCATCGGAATACAAACTGCTTGTATTGTTCATTTGTTGTGCACTTTTAGTGAATACGGTTCTACTTTCTTATACAATGGAATTCCGACTCGCAATTTAAAGCTGTTTGTTATTAATGAGATTTCGTGTTCATTTTATTACTACAATCCCACATTAAAAAAATCAGTATCAGCCGTTTTGTAAGTTTTCATCTTCAATATCGCGTTACGTTCTTTAGAATTATTTCCATGGGTAAACACTTTTTTAAGAAAGTGCTAATGGAAATATCCAAAGGACAAAACGTGCAGATAAATGAAGATGAATAATAGAAAATAACTCTCAATTCCGGAAAAATAATGGAGCGTTTGAACAATAGATTTACTTCACGATGTATTCTAAAATACAGATCGACAGGTAAGTACGTGCAACAGCGTAAGGTCGATTTTCTTAGTTCTGTTTTCTCCCATTCCATAGATAGAAATATTTAAATTAAATGTAAATCATTTACTCATAACCTGTATAAGATTTTTTTTGGCGGGGTAACTCAATCAACGAAATCTGTCTTCTTGCTGCTGCCTTCTCGAGTCTCACTTTTTCAGTTGGCACATGTACAACCCATCGTCAACAAAGTTTATAGCAAATGCGCATGAATACGGATTCAAATCATGTTGTATTCATGACTTTCAAGCCAATAATAAATTAGCGGTGTTTTTTTTTTTTTTTTTTTTTTTTTTTTTTTTTTTTTTTTTTTTTTTTGACAAAATTAATTCAAACTGACTTCTAATAGCGAAATACTACTTCAATGCACCTCTTTTATCATGTTAGAAACAATATTTTTGTCGGGTCCAACTAGAAGTTAAGCCCCTTTATCATATGTACATATAGATACATTGGCAAATAAAACAAATTATTTAGATTGTAACAAACATCTACCTCCGTTACAGATTAAATAGTTTCAAATGACGGACTGGATGCTTGTTTTATTGGACAAAGTATATCTATGGACACTAAAATGACATTTTAATCACTCCTCGATTTCTTAAGACAACACATAAAGATGATGTATCATTAAAGCCTGTTAACTATTCTTAGAAGAAGTCTCAGTAAAATAAAGGGTAATAAAAATAACGATAAGAGTACAGTTGTACAAAAACAAAGAATAGAGAATGATAGGATGCTTTAATATAAGAAATAGAGAATAACCGGTAAAATCAAACATGAATAGGGGAAAATGACATACAGAAATGCAGTCCAGATCATCATATATAACAACCAAAGATTTTCTGTTGTATAAAGACAAAACTGAAACACACGAGTTTACAAATATTACATATCAATAGAGTGACCAAAACCAAAACGTTTCGATTTCAGTCATTTATTAGTAATAAAAGAATGGTTTCTATTACCAAATAATCATATCGAGGTACAAAAACTGTATACATATACACATGAACCGGCAATAAAATCACGTCAAAATGATTGACGTTAGTATCTGAAGAGGATATATATATCAAATAAACATTTAAAATATATTTACGACATTACTGAAATTAACAATTACGGGAGTAATACATGGACTTTTGCATTCTTGTAAACCTCAATTAATTCAGTATGAATGAAATTTAATGACAAAGTATAATTCTGAATATACGTTCGTATTTGATCATCGCCTGTTTTAATATACTCTGTATTGACATTAACTCCATTAGAATTTGTCTAAATCCTGAAACATGTTTAGGAACCCAACTGAAATGGTTTATCGAAATACTACGCATATTAATTTTTTTTTTCTGATCCTAGATTGACAGAAAAACTGTTTACGATGAAAATACGCATGCCCTAAAAATTGACACAAATACATGGAAATGAACTATAAACACTGTATCAATAGAACAACGCTTTATCATAAGTGCTTGATAATTACCCACAGTTCACTTCTTTGAGCTATATATGACGGACCCTATCGTCCAATCAGGATAGTATGGTAGTTTAAAGATTTCAAATGCGATCTCTGACATCCGTTAATAGATAAAGCTTTTATCAAAAACTTCCAAACTTCCGAGGAAATTTAAGTATATATAAATATAATTTTATCAAAATGAATCAAAAATATTTATTTTATATGATAATCAATATATTTTACAGGAAAACATTCAAAAATTAGAATTCACATTGTTTAAATCTAACTAAATGTGAATTGTGTCATGTAAATGAAAATATTTTATAAACGCTATTCTCTTATAGTTTTGAACTGTTATCTATTTTATGCATACAAAGATATTTCTCGTATCAAACTGAATGAAAAAGTGATACGAAAAATGCGTTAATTCAGTTAGCCTATTCTGTAATGTGTTACGAAATTGCGATATTTCCATTGGCTATTCGTTATGTCAGTGATGCTCATACAAGTGAGAAGTTTGGCTAGCTATAAAACCAGGTTTAATCAATTATTTTCTGCATATGGAAATGCCTGCACCAAGTCAGGAGTATGACAGTTGTTTTCCATTCGTTTGATGTGTTTGAGCTTTTGATTTTGCTATTCGTTAAGGGACTTTCCGTTTTGAATTTTCATTGGTATTCGGTATTTTTTTTATTTTACTTTCTTTTTTGTTAATATCACAACGGACCTTTGCCAACGGAAATTTGTGGTTCCTTCGATACTATACAACCCACATATATATTCTTTTTATAAAATTTTAGTCCTTTATAAAGCATACACAAAACTTTAAATATCTGAAGTTAATGTTTGACAACGTTGGAAGTGGACTTCAGTATGCCGTTACACTGTTTATTTGCAAAGAGAGGCAAGAAAATTGTTTCGCTTAATTAAATTTTTACAAAAATAATAATGTTTACAATAAGATAAATAGGTTTAACAACTTAGAGTTAGATATCGCTAAAAGCTCGTCCATTATTATAATGAAATTAAATAATTTGAGTTGATATCAAGCGATATCCTATTCTCACTCGTGATGAAACCTATAATTATTTGATATTTTATTTCAAAATTATAACATACGATTTTCCCCTTTTCCTTATATTGGGTTTCTTTTATATAAAAAGTTTATGAAAAGCTTTCAGAATATTCCTCATGGAAGTCTGTAAGAATGGAATGATCTATTAAATTACATAATCAAAAACTTATTGATGAAATCAAAATAAAGGAAAACTATGTCAAAGTATTTCTACATTTTGTTATAATAGATAAATGTTGCAACATTTCAAAATAGTTTGCTTACCATAGTTCAGTTGGAAATGCTATTCTTTAACTTGTAACTGTTATACAATATTTTAGTATTTATACGATTGCGTGATCATTGCCCTTATCAACAGAAAAAACAGGTGATAGTGTCTCCTAGGTAATACTATATTTACAAAGCTATATATTCTATGACACGAAGTTCAATATGTATGATTTATTCAACAAATCTTAACACAATTTCAACTTCCGGCTGATGATAAGATACCCTTGCATTGTTACATAACTGTTGAACATAAGAGGTCGTGTTGTAAATGAAAAAATAATAACATGAGCTCGGATTGCAATATGATTTTTGTGAAAGTGACGTGATTAGATCATAGTTATCCTAGCACAAACAAAATGGTATGAATTAATAAAGCTTATGTGTAATATTTTATTATCAAGTTGTATTCATTAAGAATCTTCTACTAGTATATTATTGTTTCTGTTGGATTGTCCCTGTATATTTGCACTGAAATTTTTAAAGATGATATGAAAAATGTTATTATCACCTGCATCTTAATATATCAACGTGTATTTGTATGGGGAGCCTCGGTGGCCGAGTGGTCTAAATAGTTACTACTGTAATCACTAGCCAGTCAACACTGAGGTTGTGAGTTCGAACCCCGCTCGTGCGGGTGCACTCGACTCCAATATTAATTGACTAGGATTGTCAGTTTTCCTATCGAAGGTCGGTGGTTTTCTCCGGGCACTCCGGCTTCCTCCACCAATAAAAAGTGGCCTACCACGAAATAGCCCAAAAGCGGTGCTTAAAAGTGGCGTTAAAACACCAAAAAAATCAAAAAATCAAAATGTATTTGTATGGGAATACCATCACCATCATCCGCCACTCTTTCGACACAGCAGCGGCCTTTTTAGCCATCCCAGTATGACATACGCCATGGCTTCAATCATTTTGAATACTTGCGCTGAACACAGCTCAAAAAAGCTTAGAAAATGTTAAAGTTAATAAATTGTATTTTTCTTTTTATTGAGATTGTTTATGTTTATGTTAATGTTTTAGTTATGATATAATATCATGTAAGCAAGCATTTTTTTAAATTTGAAATCTAGTAGATATAGTTTGTTCTTATGTTGTGGTGTTACACCACTGTCCCAGGTTAGGGAGAGGGTTTGGAGCCAGTTAACTAGTTTAACCCCGCCACATTTTATATGTGTGCCTGTCCCAATTCAGGGTCCTGTAATTGAGTGGTTGTCGTTTTTTGCTATTTCTCATATTTGTTTATTGTTTTGCATACTTGTTCTTGTGTTGTGTTGTTACAACACTGTATAAGGTTAGGGGAGGGTTGGCGCCTTCAAACTAGTTTAACCCTGCCACATTCTATATGTGCCTGTCCCAAGTCAGGAGCCTGTAGTTCAATGGTTGTCGTTGGTTCATGTCTGTCATATTTGTTTTTCGTAAATTGTTTTGTTATAGATTATGCCGTTAGTTTTTTCAATTGAATTTTTTCATATTTTTCGTGTCGGGGCCGTTTATAGCCGACTACATGTAAATGTTATGGGTTTTTCTCTTTGTTGAAGGCCGTAATGTTGCCTATAACTGCTGACATGTACTTCATTTGAACTTTGGTGGATAGTTGACTCATCGGCAATCAGAGCATCCAAAGCCGATATAAAAAGAAGAAGATGTGGTATGATTGCCAATGAGACAACTCTCCACCAGAAACCAAATGGCATAGAAGTTAACAACTATAGGACACCGTACGGCCTTCAACAATGAGCAAAACGCATACCGCATAGTCAGCTATAAAAGGTATGTATTCTAGATACGGAAAGATATGGATGTGACAAATTTTCACAACTCATTAAAATCACTTTACTTACCAAAAGAAATGGTATTGATTTGATACTAGATAGACGCGTCAGGTCCTTTGACACATTCGTCATTCACAACAATGGCAGATGAAAGTATCAAATCATATAAGGAGCAATTATAATTCAATAAACATGCAATAACTTTATTTTCTTTGGATTTATTACCGATGTTATCCTGACATTAACTTTGTTACTTAATTTTGTTATAGAAATGAAATATATATACATATAAAGATATATGCTAAACATCATTGAACCAGATATTAAAAAAAATGAAAAGATATTCATTTATTTGCTGGAGAGAAGGAAGCCAGGAAAACATTTTGACTCGGGTTAAAATATTTGTTTACGTTGCTTCCATGAGCAGACCATTACCTCTGCTTGCAAATTATCTATTCTATACAGGTTTCCGGCCTGTTTATCTGTAAGATGTGAATGAAATGATAACTTGTCAATTAGAATTCTATCTATAGGATAGAAAAGAAAAACGGATCATATCATTTCAGTGCAAATAGCGTGTATCTAGATAAACTAAAACATTGTTTTTAATCCAGAATTGGAAGTTTGTACATGTATTACGTTGCATAAAAGCCAATTTTTAACATCTTGGATTTTTTTTTTGCATTTGATTTTTAGGATTTACGGCACATCTCTTCATTTTCATTTCAACTTATAAAAGACAAAGAAAAATAATTGGAAGTGTACATTTGAAAACATTCCTTCATGAATTTTCTTAAACAGTAAATTAGCAATTATCAAAATTAACGACTCACATATAAATACGCTATCACTTATCCCAATAGACAGTCACTATTACCCCAAAAGGCCTTTAGTTTTCTCTGTAGCATTGGTTCACACTTTTTTTTTTATCTATAAGACTTTTTAGCTTTCTATACGGTATTGGTTTTGCTCATTATTGAAGACAGTATGATAACCTGCAGTTGTTTACATCTTGTCCTCCGGTCTTTTGCTAGCTGTCTCATTGGCAATCATTCAACATGTCCTTATTTTCAAATTGCTAGATCTTTCATTAGGTATAAGAAATTGATTTAATGATTTCGAAACTGACAAGTTTTATTTTTTGTTCTTATTCGTATGACTATGTGATTAAGTTCTAATGACTTGTGGGGTGGTAGTCTTAAATATAGTTTTGTTTTTATTTTCCCTATAACATTTTTTTCATTTACTAATGAAGTCATTTGCTGATTTCTTTCGATTGCATTGCAAAGTCAAGAAATATTAGCAGTATTTTATACGAGTTATTGCTTACAAGAAAGCTAGTTCACAATGGCTCCAAATGTTAAGTGGTAAAGTCATTCATTCGGAAGATTTACGTTCGACATTATGATTTGGATGAGTTACGAGTTATCACGAGCTATTTAGGTATATTTCGGATTATTACGAGTTATAATGATGTATTTACGGCAAAACATTTTTTTTACGAGTTATCAAGAGCTTTTTACGCATTGTGAGGAGTATATGACGGAATGTTACTATTCATCGAAGCTTTCATGTGTTAGTTACGACCTATTTACGTGTTACTACGAGTTAGTTACAAGTCTTTACCATATTGCAGCTTTTATACCTTTTGCGAAATCGTAAACAATACGTAAGAATACGTACGTAAAGTATACGTATCGTGAAGTACTCGTAATTAAACGTAAAGTACACGTAATAACTCGTAACAATCCGTAAAACCATCGTATCACGATCCAAATAAAATCGTAAGCAACACGTAAGCAATTGTTATGATCCGTAAACAAATCGGAATCTTACCGTAGAAAATCGTGAAAAAAATTTGTAACAAGTCATTTACGGATCAATCCGTGTACAATCGTAAGAAGATTTTTGACATGTCAAAACATTCGCCTCTCCTTTCATGGATCCTTAAGAGTGTCTGCGAGTTGTTTCGAGTTGCGACGAGCTATTTACGGATAACAGCGAGTTATTTACGGATGCTTGCGATTGACTATGCGATGGCGATTCGTAACGACTCGTAAGAAAAATCCGTGTATGTGAAGGGGGCATTAATAACGTGTTATTCTCATTCTAACGTCTAATTGTCCCGAGTCTGTGCAAAATCAGTAATTATCAATAATCTTCCATCAATACCGAATTCTCCAATATAAAATTTACCAAGGTGAAGATTGCTATAATTTCCATGAGAACGTGTCCAACATATTTATGAAAAAACTATAACAAAAATACCGAACGCCAAGGTAAATTAAAAAAAAAAAGGAAACTCCTTTAAAATGACAAAATCAAATGTTATTAACCAACGGAACGAATTGAAATCATCTGTCATATTCCTGACTTGGTATAGATTTTTTCCGAAGAAAATGGTGGGTAAAACCTGGTTTTATAGCTAGCTAAACTTCCCACTTACAGTTGTTTGTAGTTCCGTTATGTTGACAAATTGGGTGAGGAAACCAAACATACATAATATGATAATGCAACAATAATTGGGATGCAGCTGCCAAGACTGTGAAAACATACATCACAGATAGACATACAACGCAACTGACTAAAAAATTCAAATATATATAAAAATAGATCTAACAAAGACGGCAACAAAACAGTTGTTGTAGTGGATAGTAAATTTGAAAAACCGCTCCATTTGTTGTCTATCATACAATTCTGGCAACGATAGTTACAATGATAGGGTTCCATTTTTGTTCCTTTCGTAGAATAAAAGTAAAACTGTGGACGGCAAGACCATTATACAATGATGGAAAGCACAAGGAAATTAAGTAGAGTATCATTTGCTCTTAAATATGAAAGAAGCTCGTTAAGCATACAACTTTAGGCTGTAGTATGTTCTCAAGTTACAAATGTTCTTTGCAGTAATACTGAATTTATGGTTTGATTTTCTTGTTTGAGTATTGTCCTTTAGAATTTTAATATGTATTTTCTAAACTCATATGTTTGGTTCATTTAAGTTTAAATTGCATAAATATAATTCTGATGATCTAATTTATATACCATTTAGTTAAATAGCACAGTGCTTAATATACCCCATTATTATACTTATACGGTTTTCCAACCGGTAAAAACAACACGACTTCATACTGAATTGGTCTGTATAGCATAGGACCAAAAGTTTAGTCATGAACTTCTGACTGGACTATATAAACAAAACAAAAGATACCATAGAGGTCTTCATATAAATTCAAACTTTGCAGTAAAGTACTACCTGTGA